GACCCCTGGCCTTTGCCCTCAGGAACAGGAGGGTTCCTGGTCAGCCCATGGGCCTGCCTGAGTGAGGGACTCACAGCCTCCTCTCTGCTGAGTTCTCCCTGCCCTTTCCCCACTACTGGCTTTTATCATGCCTGGGCGGCATCTTCTGATGTTGTCATCCTCCTGCACTGGTTCCAGCCATATAGTAAAATGACTGATGAACCATGCAGGAGGCTTGTTCCTCTGCAGCTTGCCCTCACTCGCTGCCTCTGAAAAAAGCAAGTACACCCTGCTCAAGGGGCTGTTTCCTTGAGGTTGCGGTGGGCTATCCCCACCATGACCCCGATTAGGGGAGAGGGGTTTCTGCCCCTCTCTTCTCATCCCCCTGGGACAGAGATGTTGGGAAATGGCTTCAATGGTACAGTCAAGGAATTAGAATCTCAATTCAGAAGCTCTTGAAAGTGCTTCTTTCCCTCTGCATTTATGGTGGAGTTGTCTTTAAAGAGCATTGTTCCATCCTTAGACCTGAGAGAGATGGCTTTGTCTGCTTGGCTGATAGATAGCTTTGATTATGCTGAAGAAACTATGCTGACCATGGTTTGGGGTAAACTTTTGCATCTCTTTTGCTTTGTTCTCCCACCACTTGTTCTTTCACTCTTGAATTTTTATTTGGTCTCAGCTTTAATTCTAATATAATAAAAGCCTTAGTCTGTCTGTCCATAATGCTTTATTCACACTCTGATTTGTTGTCTTGGCAGCCAATCACAATGCTGACTGAAACAACCAATCAGAGTACTCCAAAAGTGTTCTGGACAGGAGGTGGTGGCGGCACAGCAGAGCGCCGCCATGACAGTGGGGGCAGAGGGAACAGAGGAAATGGAGTGGCGGGGGGCAGGCCTTGGTCCTGCACCCCCTGCTCGCTGGAGGTGGTGGTGGCATGGGGTGCTGGCCAAGGAGGACAGAGGGGATGGTGGGGCAAGCTTCCTCCTCACCGGCTCCTGGGAGGCGGTGGTGGAGTGGGGTGGTGGGTGGCAGCACTCTGTCCCTGCCTGCTCCCCATTCCCGATGGACAGTTGGCTAGTGTGGCAATAAAGGTCTTGCTTCTGTGTGGAGTTCATGTCATTTCACCAAGCTTCAAAAACTTGCTTTTTTCTGTCAATGACAGCTTGTATTCTCATCAAACCAGTCCTGATGTTCCTTTGTGGAGAAGCCTAAAGATTCTTTGCATGTTTCATGGATACCTTTCTTGAGGCTCTTCCACTGATTGATGGCATGAAGATGATCAGGGAGGTTGGATAGTTTCTCGCTGAGGCACTGCTGAAGATGATTGCTCTTTGAAAGGTCTTTCAAGCACTCAATAGTGAACCTTGTCTTTGGTTGCTTCTTTTGTTCATGTCATTTTGGGGTGATATGGACACGACAGTGTATCAAATAATGATCCATCTCAGCAGACATCTGTTTTGGTCATAGTTCTGGTGATACGGACCTTGTGACAGTTCTGGGCACACTCTATGATGTAGTCAATCAGGTGTCAGTGTTCTGAGCTAGGGTGCATCCATAATGTCTTTCATCTGTTGCTTTAGTGGAATAAGGAGATTGTGATGATGAGAGTATGTTCCTAAAACTAGCTCAGGAGAAGAATTACATTTGAATTGACTTCCTTTCCAAGTGTTCCTTTCCATTGCTCAGAGTCCCTGCTCACTTTAGCATTGACATCTTCAAAAATTATTGTCTCTCTTCTGGGGACAAATGACAGGACTTGGTCAAATTTAGAACAGAATTCTTGTTTTTGTTTCATCATCTGCATCAAGTGCTGGGGCTCAGGTAGTGATGACTGTTGCATGTTGTCTGTTAGTCAATTGAAGAGGAAGGGTTATGAGATGCTCACTGATGCCAACCAGACATTTCAGTATCTGAGTAACGATCTTGGTCTTAATAGCAAAACCAATTCTATAGAGGGGTCTGTGTTTTTGGCTTTTCCTTTTCAAAAAGAACGGTGTAGCCATCACCATGCTCTGTAAGCTGCCCCTCCCTTGCACATCTGGTCTCATTAAGAGCGGTGATGTCGATATCAAATTGTGCAAATTCTCTGACCACAAGTTCTGTCCTTTGTTACAGTTGGTCGCTGTTAGAGTTGTCCATTAGGGTGCGGATGTTCCAGGTATAGGCCTGCTCAGTCAGACTGGAGCTGTCAATTTGCACACCTATCTCAGTTCCAAGTTCAATATGACAATCATGGACTCCACGCAGGTCTGTAACTAGGAACTTCCATTAATCAATAGTTCCTGTCCCTGTCACCACTCTCCCATCGCCATTGGATATGCTGTTGAAGGACAATGCCTGCATGTGTTTTCTTTTAACATGATGTTGTTGTACATCAGCAACCACAAGATACTTTGCAGATAGAAATCTTTAATCTGACAGCAAGGAAACCTAGGAGGCCAACTATTTCTATTTCACCACAGCCTTCATTCAATTTGCAGCAACTGTGAAGTATTCTTTATTCATCTGCCTGCTCTACCATCAAAGACTTTTATTTTTATTTTTGGCTCCTAATCACCATTCTACAGAATCATTTTTAGTTACTTTCTCTTTGGCTTACTTGACAATTTCAATATTCCTATAAAGCAGAATAGCTTCAACTGGACCCAGATGATATGTCCAATTCAATGAGATGGCCTTTTGGGTTCTTGGCAGAACCATTTAGAGCAAGGGTTGGCAACATTTTGCAGTGGGGGTTGCATTAAAGGAACTCAGCTCTAAGTGTGGGATGCTTCCAACTTGGCCCGCTCTCCTTTCCTGTAGGTTTGAGGACATTCTTAACAGCGCACATGGAGCGATGAGTTGTGATGACTTCCATTTTGCTTAGCATTACTGCCTGGAGAATCAGTTTCTCATTGTTTTAGATGCTGTATATGTAACACAAGCCATCTTAAAAACAAAAGCCAGTGTTTTTGAGGCTGTGAACTCACTTCCAGGGTCATGACCCAATTTGGTCAGCTTGTGACCACACCCAACTCCACTTGCAGTCCAAGTCCATGTGCAGTAACTGAATTTATATGGGCCCAAATGGGATTGTGGCCCCCAGATTAGGAACCACTAGTCTAGTGTTTAGGATGTCAGGTTAGGTCAGAGCTGACCCAGGTATGACCTCAGCCAAATTTTATATTGGGTATTTACTGGAGCAGGAACTAGAACTCAGGTCTCCACTTTCAACCTCCAGGTGAAAGTTGCAATCATTATACTAGAGTTCTGGTCACCTAAATTCATATTTTACATGTTTGTGCTGGGTTCTTTAACCTCTGAATACTTGAATAAAAAGGAATTCCTGCAGCTGTGTTTTGATGTTGAAACAGGGTTTATTTAGGTACACAGGTCCCCCAAAAAAGGTTTAGGGAAATGGAAAAAGGACAAAAACAACAAGTCATTAGTGCGAGGACACTTTAAACAGAATAACCACCTCACCTCTGGCCTGACAGTTAGTATCCGAAGGAAAATTTAAGCAAAACCTTTCAGAAGATGGGAGAAAAATAGCATAACTTTGCCGGACACACAAAACTGCAGACTTAACATAGGTGATGGTTTTATGACTGATCACACTTAACCTGTCCCTCTAACCTCTCTGTGCTCCACAAGTAATAGCTGGTCTCAACTTTTGAGTGGTCATAGTATTTTACAGAATTACATTCATCTTTCTCAAACATTCTTTACCCAATGTGCAACTATTGTAATTTCTCTCCATTTCACAGGTTTCCTGTGCAAGTCACTCCTGTCATTTACATAATAAGGTTAAACAAAAGTATTTAGCTCAGGCTGTATCTGCTTCTTTCCCAGATGTCAGAAAAAGAACACCATGCTTGAAAATTTGTCTGAAATCTCTCCCCGAAAGAGCTGTTGCCATTGTTCTAAACAACTGTAGCCTTTAAAGAGAAGATGATAGAAAAATATTTGGGGTGGATCCAAGGTGGATGCAGTGGTGCAGTCACACCCACTTCTGATTCCTGCTTTACCCAAACCAACTGCCTGGCCCTGGCGGCCTTGTTTCTATTAAGATAGCAGCAAGGGAGTCACTTGACTTCATGGCTCGCTATAATCTACCTAATTTCTTCTGATCACTTCATTCCACAACTGTTAATAACTCTCTTTTCTTAAATGGTATTAATGTTCCACTCATCAAGCTGTCCTTTCTTCAGCCATTCTGCTTCCATAGCTGCTCCTGGTTATGTAGCTCCTATTTGACAGTCCTGCTGTCTGTTTTTAACTCTAGCTAAAAACGTTAACTCAGGTGTGGAGATAACTCTTACTAAAGCAGTGGATGCACGGCCAAGATGCTCAGGAAGGCTAGATTTTGCTTTATGAATCTGCAAGGTGATTTAATTCTAACAACAGAACTGATGAAGCAACATCTTTTGAGTGTCTTTTGCCTAGTTTGTTGTGGTTTTAATCTATATTATTATATAGCAAATGAATGCACATTCCAATAAAATTATACTTGTTTTTGCATTAACTGAATAGTATAGCCCCAGGCTCTATTGTTAGTAAAGCTAGTTTCTTTTTAACCGGAGAAAAGCATGTTTTGTTACATGTGACCATGCGCCGCACCACCTCCCCCTCTCTTCCAAATCCTGGACCGCCGCTGAGTACTCCTGAGAGCAGAGGTGTAAAGGCAAAGCAAGTGCCATTTATTGGAGCTGGCCCAGTAAACCTTCTCATGGGAAGAGGCAGGAGCCCCCTCAGCATAAAGGTGGGTTGGTGGTTAGGGCGCATTTTCAGCAGGGTGAAGCTGACTCTGCCCAGAGCGGGATCCCTCTGGTCCCAGAACCCCGTCTGACTGCAGGACAAGGGCCAGCTCGGGAGACACCACCCCCCGCCCGAGCTGACATCTGCAGGTCCCTCCCTCCGGGCGGGGGCCGGCTCCCTGGCCGGGCGCTGCCATTGGGCAGTTGGGCTCCCGG